ACGGTCTTATAGTGGTTCTGAAGTATTTTCCATATTATTTCAGGTTGAGGGTGTTTGCAAGACCAATCCTGGGGTTTCACGAAGAATTCCTTTTTGCTATGCAGTTCATACACCGGCGACTCCTGCCCTGAAAAAGTAGAACTATTTGTCTCCCTAATCCTATCTATGAATGATTAAAGCAGGAAAAAACACAAGGGAACCATAGTGATAATTTCCCAATCTACAAATCCTTGAAAATGTTGTTGTGTCTAAAAGGAAACTACATAGGGAATATCTCCTTCAGAAAATGCAATATTGGCACTTCTGTTGTTACTGTTACAGAATATACTCTATCTCGTAAGCTGATTCAGAATACTTCAATTTTTTTATTAAAAAAAAAACTGTTACAGAATGTGTTTTCTTGGAGATCAAAGTTTGACTCAGAAGAGGTCCAAAAAAGCTGTAAACCCAAGTCACTTTTCTTATTACGACCTGAAAAAACTATACTGCTAGCGAGTAATGAAGAGCTATCAAACCAAGGCATATTAGGATTTATTATTTCTTCTTTTTTAAAAAAAAAAAACCTTCTGGCTTATCTGCAGTTCCCTATTCTTATATACATCTCAACTCACAATTCTCTTCTCTTCTAACTTGTGTCTCTATCTCTCTGCTGTCCAATTTTAGGGAATATGGTGAGCTTTTAGTAAGCTGTGGCTTGATCGGGGAAGCAATTGCACTTTTTGAGAGTCTAGAGTTGTGGGATAATCTGATATATTGCAACTGGTACTGTGTCATTGACAGTCATATTCTTACTTTGGGTCTTGTTGCTTAATATGAATTTCTGTATGAAAGGTTCTCATTTTATATATAATCTGAAAAACAGCCTATTGGGAAAGAAAGCAGCAGCTGTCGAACTCATCAAGGCAAGGCTTTCTGAAATGCCTGATAACCCAAGATTATGGTATGCTAACATTTCTTACTCTTCGTTTTCATTTGTTATTCTGTCCTTTTGTAGTCAACATCCATCTTACGTATTGAAAAATTGGTGTGCTGATCTTTTCTGATCATGTATGAGCTAGGAGTTCTTGAGCTTATAAGTTCTTGCTGAACCTCTCTTAGTATTGTGAGTTTCAGTGGAAGGATAGACTCATTTGGGGACTATGGAGTTGCAAAATATTTTCTTGAGTTAATAAGTTCTTGTTGGAGTTTTTACACTCGGTACATCCTTAAATGTTTTCCACACATCAACGCACATGCATACATTTGAGACAATGAGATAAATTGGATCAAACCTGAGACATGTATATCCTAATATTTCTCATGCACACGCACACATATAAAACTAGATAAATAGGATCAAAGTTGAGACATACAGCCATGAGAAAGAAGCATCACTAGTTAGTTAAGTTAGTGGTCACCTTTCTTGATAGTTTTCACAAGAGAGACATGCATATTTTTCATCGTCATCCATGTGTTAGTTTGCTTTTTGTTTCTAAGAAGAATCTTTTCATGTGTTGGGAAAGTAGCTTTCATACAGATAGTATTAAGCTGATTACTTGGGAGGATAATTGGATTGGGAATTCTCCATGGGCCAGCCTATTCCTTCGGTTATAGAATCTCTCTCCTAGACATAATGCTCCCATTTCTTGGCTTTCAACTTCATCAAATCACGTTACAGGCTGGACCTACCCATTTTTTATCTTCTATCTGATGGGGAGACTTACAAATTGTTAACTGGTTAAACATGTCGAATCCAATAATACTCAACTGACACTGATTCTAGAGCTTGGACCTTGGAGCCCTCCAGGTTATACACCTGCAAACCGTTCATTGGTTATATCACCCAAAACCCAAGCTATTGCCAAGTCTTTTGCCAAGATTTTTTTGGAAGGTTCAGATGCCATCAAAGGTAAAAGTGTTTGCATGGACTGCTATTTTTCGATGACTCAATACTAATGACGTGTTGCAAGTTCGCAGGCCAAATTGCACTTTGTCACTAGATATCTGTATGATATGCCATCAAGGAGGGGGAGGGACACTCATTTGTTCTTACACTATGACATGATGTGGAGAATGTGATCACATTTGTTTAACTTGTTTGGTTTAACATGGGTCATTCACCTTTAATGGAGGTGGTCAAACCCCTGTAAGGATGGGCTATTCTCATGGGATTATAGACTTTATGGCTTGAAAAGAATAGTAGATTTTCAATTATATTTTTGCCCAGCCAGGATTTGTGGGATTGGATGTCATTTTTGGCTATTAAGTGCAGAAGTTCACAGGCAGTTTTCTGATATTGCTCTGTCTGTGATACACAGGAGTTGAGAAGCAATGGCCTCTTAGTCCTAAAGGGGGGAGCTTTTTCTTCTATTTGGATCTATTTCCAGTTCAGTTAGATGTTCTTTTTACATCTCTTTTATAGAACTTTCTGTATGAAAATTTTAGGAGGATATCCTATTCTCCCCAAATACAGTGGCCTCTCTCTTTAATGATATATCTTTTTCTTGATATAAAAGATAAAATTCCACATTGAAATGACTTTTCTGATTTTCTTGTCAAGCTTTGCTGAACTATCTGACTTGGTGCAAATTGAAATATTAACTTTAGGTGTTCACTTGGTGATGTTACAAATAATGATGCCTGCTATGAAAAAGCATTGGAGGTTTCGGACAATAAATCTGCCCGTGCTAAGGTAATGTTATTACCGAAAAATAAAGAGGCTAATTATTGTTTTCCTGGATCTTGTCTTTGGTTTTAACTATGTTCTCTGTGTCTCAGCGCTCTCTGGCTCGTAGTGCATACAATAGAGGTGACTATGTGACATCTAAAATCCTATGGTATGTTCATGTCCTTTGCTTGTTTGTGAAGTGTGGTAAATAATCTCTGTAGTTCATAGTTGACTTGGTTGGGTGATCCCATATAACAGGGAGTCTGCCATGGCTCTGAATTCTTTATATCCAGATGGTTGGTTTGCTCTTGGAGCAGCTGCATTGAAGGTAACTTGATGTGCCCTGTGGTTTGAGGCTTGTCCATTTGTCAGATTTCTGGACATACGTGTTCTCAATACCAAATATGATAAACTTCTTGTTTTGTTACAAATCCTTCTCTCTCTCTCAAGAGAAAGCTTCATCAAACTCATTATTGAATATGGTGATGCAGGCTAGAGACACTGAAAAAGCTCTTGATGGGTTTACTCGGGCAGTTCAACTCGATCCTGAAAATGGGGAGGCTTGGAACAATATTGCTTGTTTGTATGCTCTTTTCATTTTATCTTTTCCTTCTATCCTTGTAATCCATATACATGTTTTTTATGCATATCATGTTTCTGCTTAAAGTGATACTTCTCTAAATTTAGCTACTTTGATTTGACACCATGGCTACTGATTTATTCTTTGTAGCATTATTATGGACTTTGGTTATTACTAGTTTGATGCAATCCAATTAATAAAAATCTGTGCAATGGAAGTTGTGGCACAAGTTACAAATCTTTCGAAGACAAAAAATCTGATGAGGAAGTAAATTAGCCCCATCTTGAAAAGTTTGACCTTTAAATGAAGTACAAAATGGTTCTAAACGAAAAAACTTAAAGTTTCTTCCTAATCACCAATAGCAGCTCGAGAGATATTGGCTCTGGTGTTGTGCATAACCCAGCTCGAGAGATATTGGCTCCATTATAAGAAAACTTGGACTTTCCTTGGATTGTTGGTTCAGAAATATGTTGAGGACCTAATTGATATTTTGATTGAGTTGTAAATATTCCATATATTGTACTTGGGTGGTCGTGGCACCCCTTGGTGCTTTGTTTGATTGATACTTTCTCCATTTAGACAAAAATGAGAATATATACTTTTATGCTTGATTTGAAAAGCGAGCATTTATACCATTCTACCGTGCTTTATAAATTACAAAACATTTTTCCTACCCTGCAGGCATATGATCAAGAAGAAGAGCAAAGAGTCATTCATTGCATTCAAGGAGGCCCTGAAATTCAAGTTCTGTATCTTATCAAAATGAGTCTTTTATTTAATTGTTTGTAGTGTAAAATATTTCTTTTCTTTAATTTTTTGTGTGTAATTTTGCAATTTATTGTTTGTTTCTACTGATTTGAAATCTGGGTCATGATGAAAGGAACCATGATTTTATTTCAGACGAAACAGCTGGCAGTTGTGGGAGAATTACAGTCATGTTGCTGTTGATGTGGGCAATATTAGCCAGGTAAAGCAGTTTGATGCTGGTTTCTTTACACCATTTATTGGGCCTGTTTCAGATGAAGCAGGTTTTTCTGTTTCTCTTCTATGAAGCCTTTTTTTCATCTCTGGCCTTTCTGTAATAGATAATGGATGGAAATATTTACACTGTTTAAAAGATAAAGAACATTATGGCATTCTTGTGCTCATAAACTCAACATCTCCTAGAATACTTTGTTTCTTTAAAAATTCAACTTTGCACACACATATTCTCTGCTCTCTTACAAATTTTCATATATGTGGTTGAAGTGTGTTTGCCAATTAAATGTATATCTCACTTTGTTTTCAATTTTCACTTATATTGTGGTACCACTATGGGTCTGCACTGTGATAATGGTAGCCTGTTGTAATTCTTCACTTTTGGATTATTACAATCAAGTAAAATGGCTATTAGATTTGGTAAAGTCTCCTCAATAGGTTATTTATTTTTTGTGTTCTTTTGCACTTGGCTTAGGTAGATCATTCATCTTCGCGTAGGAATTTATGACAAGAAACTCTGCCAACAATGCAAGTTTTGTTTTTCAGAGAAATGGTACATAAAATATGCATGGCGTATTAAATGCATCAATGATTAGTTTGTTAATCTAATAGCTCTAGAACCATGGCCTGGCTTCTGAAGAAAGGAAATGAATTCCTCAGTCTTTAGTTTTTTTTTTGTAAATAGAGAAAATAAATCCTATGCTAAATTTTGAACTGTGAATCATGATTTTCATTGATGTACAGACAGAACTATTGTCTATCGTCCCAATGGGGAATGAATTTTCCTTAATTTTGTTTAATGTAAGCCCTGCTGTAATTCTTGAAGCACATGGTATATGTTTATAAATGTATCAAAGAATGGCAGATTTTTCATTGGAAGGGATACCAAAAATGTTATGTTATTCTTTTTTTATATAACTGACTTAGCGCGCCCTTAACTTCCTTCTGTGAAGTTAACAAGAACATATTAGTCCATGTCGCATGGCATAATCATATGTTGCATGAAAATGCCAAAAGTAGATGTTAAGGGTCTGTGCACTTAGTCTGACTGGTGCTTGTATTGTAAACTGATAAAAATACTTTGGAAATGGTTTTCAGCAAAAGAAGTTTTAAGGTGAAAACTAGTGTAGTGTTTTTTAAAACTTACTATAAGTGAATATAAAATGTGGTATTGCATTTAACTATGTTATAAAATTAATCATATATGTTAAAATGATAAAAGATTTATTATTTTGAAGAAACTATTCTAATAATTTGATCATATTAAAATATTTATTTTAGTTAATTTATTTGTTTATTTTATTAAATACAAACATTATTTTTAAATTATTGTTTAATTTTAAAATAAATGTTACTTTAATAATTATCGGATATAAAAAATTATCAATAATAAATTAATATTATATTTTTAAAAATATTTAATTTATTAATTAATGCAATATAAACGTCATTAGATATATTATTTACTTCTTGCATCACAGGGCATCTTTTAAACGCATCAATGTCTAGCTCTTGATTTTGTCTTTATTAAAAGTCGAAATAACTTCTGCTTTTACCTAAAAGAACATCTGTTTTTAACATTTCAGAGTTTACTAGGCTTCTGCTTTTTGGCCAAGCAGGCATTAAATCTGGTTCTAATACTCTTGCACCGAGTAAGCCATGTCTAATGGCAAAAGGGCCTTGTTTCAGGCCTCTTATTTTTAGCAAGTCTTGATACATTAAAAAAAAAAAAGAAGTCTTGATTTTTACTTTTATATTTTTTCAGTCAAAAAGTTTCTGGCATTCTTTGTTGTTTTGGGTATTTGTGTTTATTTTTCTTTGATTAAAAGAATTTCTGGTTTCCATTTAAGTTTTTTGATTGAATTTTTAGAGTTTACAGTAGTCTTGTTACTTTTTTTTTTTGTCTTAGAAATTTAGACACATTTATAAATGTGATCCTAGTTCCAAGTCAGCTAGATCTAAATTTCTTTTTTGGGTACTCTTTCAACTATCAGAACTGCCTTTGAAATAATAGCTTATACCCAAATTTCGTCATAATATTGCAATTTTAAGCTATTCCTCTTTGCAAACAGTAACCATACTTATACTTTGATAGGATTTTTAGCAGATAGCCTTGTTATTGACCTTGGGATCCCTGTTCCTTTGACCCTTTTGCTAAATTTATTGAATTTGATTAGTAAGTTAGTTCGTATTACATATTATATATTTGTTTCCCCTTTGCAGGCTTTGGAAGCTGTCCAGATGGTGTTAAATTTGACCAATTATAAAAGAATTGATGTTGAATTATTAGAAAGAATATTCTTAGATTTGGAGGGAAGGACTTCAGCAAGAGAATCAACTGCCCCTTCAGAGATTGGAACTGATACTAGTGCAAATCAAGCTTGTCCAGCTGATTCACGAGAAGATTTTGTTAGTCCATCAGCTTATACAGAAGATTATTCGTCCCAGGAGAGTGAATACCTAGTGGGTTTACTTGGAAAGGTCCTCCAGCAGGTTTGTAAGTCCAATCATGATAATCATGCTGTTTTCCTGTCATAGCAAAGTAAAATCACACTCTAAATCTCTGTCTCAGTCATGTTTTAACACTTCTAACCACACCAAGTCCCCTACATAATTAGACTATACAACTTACATACGAACATTTAATTAAGTTATATAGCTTTTCATCACCAGAATTTTGAATATTTGGAGGCATTATGTATTCTTGTGGTCAACTCTCGAGTTTTGAGGGTATGCAAATCTCGTGCATCTAATGCTTAATTGGCAAAATCTGGTATTTTTATGTTTTTTGTAATAGACTAGTTTTAGTGTGTGATGTGCTCTAACTTTTCTTAAAAGATTTTGGTACAAAACTTGTTGAATAGCTATGCAATGAGACTAAGAGGGAAGAGAATTTTAATGTCGGTTTGTGTTTATTTTGATGGCGAAAATGAGAAGGGCTACCCAATTTTCATTCCTTTGTATCACTAACTCGTCAAAACAGAAACGGCACTTGGTACTTATAACAGATACCCAATTTTTGTTGTTTTTACCGATATGATAGTATGAGATAGAAGTAACTGTACTAATATATAATAATATATCATCCCTCATGTAATTATTTATGTTGCTTTTGCTGATACAGATAGTTCGCAATGAAAGCACAGAAGATATATGGGGCTTATATGCAAGGTGGCACAAAATGAAAGGAGACCTTAGGATGTGTTGTGAAGCACTTTTAAAGCAAATTAGATCGTACCAGGTATCTTAATGAGATTTCTTTCCTTTCAAATTAAAGAGACAACAGTGGTATCCTTTCTACATTGGTGCTGCCTTTATATTGTTTACAAGAAAAAAGTGCATAACGCCTATGAGTCCTTCCTTTTTTATTAAAAAATTGGCATTCGAGCCAAAATTTTGAAATTTGGAACCATTTATCTTCCGCTGAAGGAAGCTATCCATTGTCTCAAAAGCGTTCCTATTGGAAACATGTATGTTTTAGCAGTTTGCTGGATGCATGCTTCTTGCTTAGAGACAAATATTTTTTATAGAGAAATAAATATCATTATGAGATAGAAGGGATCAAAACAAAAAACAGTGCATAAGACATCCAGCTGAAGGGACTGCAAGGAACAAGTCAAAACAGATGATTGGAGATACATTGAAAAGGACAGAATTGAATCCCAATTCCAGTGGAGGACAGTAACAGAAATGTCAGAGAACTTTTATGGATGCAAGAAAAGTTATTTTCTCCAGAAATATCATATCGAGGAACGACCGTTGTCAAATATCCGATGGTTCCTTTCAACCTAATTGTCCATCTAGCTGCCAAGAAAGCTCCTTGCCATAGGGCCTTGCTTTCTTCCTCACCCCTATACCATCAATATTGGGTTTTGATGAAGCATCCCAATGATGGAGGCATTATCCAAGATAGGTTAAATGTTATCTAATGATGGATCTTGCTTAGAAACAAATATTACAGTCTTATTTGTTAAAGTAATACGAACCTAACAACCATATCTTTAAGTGCCAGCGTTAGGCAAAACTGGTTTCTTGATTCTATTTCTGTTATGCTTTTATCTATGATGGAAATTATCATTGCTGTTTGTTTCCACAGTCAAGAATTTTGTGTGTTACCACAGCACACATGGTTTGAAAATTATGAGAATACTCCTAGTTTCCACACACTCCATGGAGCCACTTTCGAAAATTTTCAGTATTAGATAACTTTCTTTCTAACTTCAGCAATGTGCCTCACTTTGCACTGCCTTTTTTGCTTGGAGGCCAGAGTTTGGTAGATTCTAACTTTGGATAATCTAATCAAAGAGGAGGCTCTGGGCTCGTAGATGCTTCCTATGCTTGAACAAGGAGGAATCCCCTAATCATCTTCTTTGGTGTTCTAAGTCTAAAAAATTATGGGATTTAGCTCTGTCTCTTCTGAACTTCAATTTGGTGGCAGATGCTTCTATTAAGGATGAGTTATGGACGTGGAGTGATATTTCTTCTCACAAGTCTAATAAGAAGGTTGTAGTTCCTCCTATTTTTTAGATTATTTGGAAAGAGCAAAACAATATTTGGGAGCTCCTCTTCCCTTTCTCAAGAGATTAGAGATCACTGGTGTATATTCTGTGTATTTGCTCAAAGGACATCCTATCTCTGATGGTGTTGGTATTTTGGATCTCTTTGATCTTCTCTTCTTGCGGAGAATGTAAATTCTCTCTCTTTTCTGTTCCTGATTGCCACCCCTCTGTGCTCTTGATAGAATCTTTCTTTCTAAACAAAATAGTAAAGAAAGGAGAGAACCCATAGTTACGAGGATGCTCCTCTTACACCCTATGCTCCAAGATCAGATACCTTACCATGGTGGAAAATCTGCTGGAGCCAAAGCAAACTGAATCAACTTGATTGTCATTTCAATCTTTACTTGAGGTAGTCACGTTGTGGCAGCTGACACATGACTGAGGAGAGTAGGAAAGACTGCAGTTTTGGGAGTTTTATAACTATCTAATCCTGTTGAGAGCATTCTCATGTACCATAAAAGTAAAAAGAGATCTCTTGATCTGTGGTATTTTTTTTATCGTCCCATTGCATGCCAGCTATATGACCGTACTGGAACCTATAATTGTTAGATAACTAGGCATGATCATAGCGTACTGCTGTTCATGCACTAATATTGCTTATTCTCTTTCTCAGGGATCTGACTTATGGAAAGATAAAGATCGATTTAAAAGGTTTGCACATGCCTCCTTGGATCTCTGTAAAGTTTACATAGAAATTTCTTCAACTGCTGGTAGCCGCCGAGAACTCTTTGCAGCTGAGATGCACCTGAAGAATGTAATTAAACAGGCAAGATGTTTTTCTGTCTGTGAAGTGATTTGCCTTTTTTTGTCAGGGTAGAAAGTGATTCACTTTATTGAAACATAATCTTTACAAGCTTTGGTTTAAGACGGCTTGATTTTATTGCTAATATATGAGAATGACGGCTAACATTGAATGTTTAGGCTGAGAGGTTTTCGGACGCGGAAGAATTTAGAGATCTTCAAGCTTGTCTTGATGAAGTGAAGCTGAAACTTCAGTCCAATTCATCTTCCACTTAACAGATTGCATCACACTTCTTGGAAGCTTCATGAATGAATTCCTACCTAAAGTAGACATGAAGCAGAGTGTTCTAATATGTAAGTTCCATTATTATCTTTCCTTTTGCCTTGATCTGGTTTTCTATATGCTTATTTTGTTTGAAAATTCATGTAAATGGATCATTTTGGGGTATAAAGAAAAAAGACACTTGGCCAACCAGGTTGTAACATTTACTAGTCCAGTCAAAGTTTTTCTTAAAGCTTTACTGGCTGAATAAGCCAGCTATCCTGTACTTCTCTGCTCTACTTGTCTCCATCTTCCCCTGAAAAATCATAAATTATGTGCTTTGAGATATGTAGAAGAAAATAAGAGTATTTTCTACTAATTGCCAGATATGTACCTCCTATGTAGGAAAGTATAGAATGCTTTAGCTTTTTTTTTTCTGGAAATAAATAGAATGCTCTAGTTATAGAAGGTCTAATAGGTCTCTCCTTCATTGATGCACACGACCTTTCAGCCGTTAGACTAAGGAGCTGAAGCTCCCATGGAAGGGGTGAAAACCACTTCAAAAATTGTCTTATTCCTCTCTCTCTCTCTCTCTCCTTGTTTTGTGAAATGTGGAAAGAGGAATCAATTTCCTAGCTCTCTTCTTCTCCCACTCTCCCACTACACTTTCCGAAACCAAGAGTTCACCAGCTACCGACCCAGGAACTGTCCATGTCAGCCCACAGCTGAGACTGCCCCATAACTGTCCATTTATACAAGAGCAGAAATGCCTGTTTCTCTTCTTAGTCAAAACACAGGGATCACCACTTAGTAGAAGTCTTGAACACTTTCCTTTTTCCGGTTATCAATTGTCTAAATCTTTTTCTAGGCTGCTTCCCAAGTGCAAAGAAGCTGTCTTGGGAGCGGCCTTCCTCTTCCATATAGTTTTCCATGGAAAACTGTCCTACCCGGCCTCTCTATACCCCCTCGTAGAAGTGGAATAAGTAGGCTTTATTCTCTCTCGTGTTGCTTTTGCATTTTGATTCTGTTAAACCAACTGGTTCCTTGGTCAGCATGGTTGAGGCAAGAAGACCCCCCTTTTTTTTTTGGACATGAATGTTGTCGATATTTTGAATTATATACTTTCTGAAGGTACTGTTCGGGTGTTATCAGGGGCTTGACAGTGGTTCAAGATAGGGCGGAAGTGTCTCATCTCCAGTTCTCAGATGATACAATACTTTCTCTCCCATATGATCATATGAAGTTTTATAATGTTCTGGGCATCATACATGTCTTTGAGGGTATCTTGAGTTTGAGGATTAACCTTAGGAAGAGGGGTCTAGTGGGTCTTGATGTCTATGAGCAGAATGTTAGAGATTTAGTTAAATCAATTGTGATGTCTTAGGATGGTTTTAAATCTATCTTAATGTTCCTCTGTTGGGTAATCCGAGGGTTGTCTCCTTCTGGGCTCCTTGTTGTGAATGGAGTCTCTAGGCATCATGACTGCTAGAAGAATGCTTTTTTTTTCCCTCTGGGCAGTAGGGTCACTCTTATTTTGCTTGTGTGCATTTTGCGTTTCTCTCTTTTTAAAATTTCTGAAGATGTCATTTAGTAAATCGAGAGAGTGATGAGGAATTTGATTTGCTTTATGCTTTTTTCACCTTTACTTAAATTGTGGCTGAGTGATGATTCTCGAAATTTTTTTTTGAGGATCCAGCATGGGAATATTCCACTAGTAGCTAGTTCTTCTTGACTCTAGAATTCATCTTGGACCACCATGCTATCACATATGGTTCCCATTCTTGTAGCCTGTCTTTCTTTAGAAATCTCAATGACGAAAAGCTAATGATATGACCTCTTTTGCTCAGCCAGTGGATTCTGTTGTATTTTCTAATAACCCTCATTGTAGAATTTGGTCTTTAGAATCAAGAGCTTTCGTACTTGCAAATCTTGTTTTGCTTTCTTGATTCAAATCCTGCTTTCCATAATAATACCTTTCATAAATTTTTCTGGAAGGTTCCTGTTCTCTCTAGAGTTAAGATTTTTGTTTAGACTGCAGTTTCAAGTAAGCTGAATACTAATAATTTGCTTCAAAAGCTCGCCGACTGAATCACATTTTATACCCTGGGATCTGTATCGTGTGTGTTAGAGATGCAGAAACTCATAATCATATGTTTCTTCATTGGATGTAGTCTAGAGGATTTATTTTCAGTTGTTTGATACTTATGGTGTTTCTTGCTCCTTCCAGTGCAATTGAGTGTTTTCTTTCTTCTGTTCTTTTGGGCTCGAATGTTAACAAAGACTAAAGCTCCTGGCATTAGGTTATGAGTGATTTGGCTTTAGAGAACAAGTATTTTCAGGATTTATTTAACATTTATGATTCTCTGAATAACTTGTCTTTCTTGGCCTCTCTTTGGGCTAAAGTCACATGGGCACGTTAAAGAGTATTATTATCTAATATTCATGGAAATTGGGAGCTTTAGGTTTTTTTCCAAGATTAGTTAGCCTTTCTTTTTTTTTTTTTTTTTGTATTTTTCTTTTCTCTAATCAAGAGTGTCTAATCTTCCTTTTCAATAACATCTTTTCGACTATGAAAAAAGTAGGATTTAAAATTGAAGGTTTATCTACTCTTAAGTCTCCACTGTAATATTTACTACAAAAGACACGTTTAGGACATGATGTCACACCATAAACAAAGTATTTCCCACTTTGGCTTCCTGGCAAACTGCTACACTGAATAGACTGGGTAATTGGGTTCCCAGAGGTGGATTTCCATGCTAGTGCAATTAACCCATGCACATAAGGCCAATCCATACTGTGCCATCACCACCTTTCTTCATAAGCTGCTTCCTGAAAGAGGTTGGCTTGGAGAAAAGGAAACTATTTTTCTATTTATTGAATGTATTTTGCCCTGATCTAAGTTTAGCTTGTATGCAAGCTTGCCCTTTCCTGGAGCGATCCATCATGAGCCATATCTTATATTCACTAAAGGAAGCCTGGTAAGAGCAAAAGACATCTATTATATCTATGCTGAATCCTAACTTGCCTGGAGAACCTTGAATCACATCTCATTTAGCAGAAAAGCAAGTGGAGTTCAAATGGAAGGAACTGTCCTGTAAGTGTATTAAATATATATTGCAAGAATCTAGTGACAAAATAGAGTATGAGTAATTTGCAGAAAGAAATATTACGGCTCTTTGGCGGTTAGAAAACTTGCCTTGTAAATCTTCTACCCCAGGTGGGGGGCCTGCCTCTAGATATTTTCACTGTATCAGCTAACAACTGTTCGTTCTAACCTAATAGAGCATAGTCCTCGAGCACTTATTAAATTACCGAAGAAATGCATGGTCCAGAAGAAAAGTAGAAGGGAAATAGAAGACAAAAGTGCTTCCACTCCCTCTCCATCTTGCTAGAAGGGACTGAATCCTTTGATGTCCACCTAGGCAAGTATGTCCTAGAGGTATCCTTCTGTCGTGTACTGTAGGTTATGCAAAATAGGCCCTCACTTTCTAGAAGCTATGTACAGATCATGTAAGGAAGATTTAAGCTTAGCAAATTAATAAGAAAGCTTGCTACAAATTATGCACTTTGTCTGCCACAGCCACTTGGATGGAAAGGTCTTGAGCACTACGGATTTGCTAAAATAATCACAAAAGAAAAAAGATCATAGATTTGAGATTGCAATATAATCAAACTATAGAGAGTGAAAATGGAATTTGCTTTAAAATGAATACTATTGCAGAAATTCTCTAAACAAGAATAGCATGAAAAAGTCCAAGACTGTTTTTAATTATTTTGCCCAGAAGGGAAAAGCAAGAACACAATTATTAGGTTTTCTTGGACATAAAAGTGCTCTGTAGTCCTAACAGAAAGATCAAGGAAAACCAAAAGAAAAATAAAATAACATTTGATTGCAAGCATGAACAACAGCTGCTTTTTAATATCACTACTCGATGCCTAGCATCTTCCTCAACATACATACAAATTCGTATACTCTCTCCGGATCTGGAAGAACTTTGGCAACGCTCTCCCTTTGCAGGCATCTCTTGATCCAGGCTGAGAACTTGGGGCAGTCATCCTCAACCTTAAACCCCCCAAATTTCTCAAAGGTGAGAAACCAACTTGTGAAAGGGATTGCTATGATGTCCACGAATCCGAACTCATCACCTCCAAAGAAGTCTTTCTCTCCTAAGGCTCCCTCTAGCTGCTTCAAAGTACCTATGAACTCATCCTTAGCACCTTCAGGTACTTCTTTAGACCTCCATATGACACCACCTGCATCAAATACCTGTCCAACAAGATTTAACCAGACAACATACATGGATCCGATAAATAAGGCTAGTATATTTTGTTAGAAAGTGGTGATATGCAGTAAGGATTGGTGAAACTAGAGTGTGCCTATTTTGGCATCATAACTCTGCTTCTGATATTCAATATCCATAAAAAAATATAATAATTTAGTAACATATATTAGTTCATGTTTACAATGTCAAGAACGTACATGTATTTACTTTCTGGATGAATAGGTATTAATGAACTATGTGCTTGAAGCTCCCTTCTTTTTTAGGATATCTAAACTAAGGGACACAACCTAGATAACAAACTCCATAAAAATAGCAGCAAGAAACAATTGATCAACTAACCTTCTTGTCAATGAAATCAGCCCAGAAACGGGCCTGAGCTCTTCCATATGCACAAGGTGGTAGCAGGGGTGGTGAAAGCCAGGTCTCATCAATGTAGCTGACAATGATGGTAGACTCACACAAAGGGTTTCCCATTATGCAACAGTACCGGGACCTTCTTGTAAATAGGGTTTGAGCTGAGCAGCAACTCACTCTTGGCTGTCAACAAATTCTCCTCTGGTATTGCCTTGTAGTTATCCACGCCCTTCTCAGCCAGTGCAATTTTCACTCTCATGCAGAAGGGACTGACTCCGCAGTCCAAAAGAACAAGCTCCTTATCAGCCATAACTTCACCAGGCTATTTCTTTTCTCTTTTGTTCTTCTTGTTGGATTTAACTTGGGAAAATAAGTGGTAAGGAGTGTTATATATATAGGAGAAGGAATTCATTAGTGGGTGAAAATCCCAAAGATTCTGTGATTCCAAATATGTGTTGTTCTTTGTTTGCTCCCTCCATTAGAGGGTAAAATCAACCTTGTGATTGTCATCCACTTCAGCTTTCTGCTGCTGTTGGAAATTAAGTTGATTTTGTCTTGGAGCGATAGATTTGATGCTGGAAGGCTGACCAAGACCTTATCAACACTAAGTCATGGAGTTCACAGTTTTATACATGATGATTAAAACTCCGAAATGAGTACATCAGAAGAAACATGCATCATTGCCATGTGATTCTGGTTACAGTAGCTTGAGCTTTTAACATTTACTGTAAGAGCTATTTTTTTTTTAAATCATAAACAAGGACACTAAGATCCCCTTCTCGGCTAAAATGCATTTGATACTTTGATTACGGATTTTCTTCAGAATATTAGATCAACTTCCAATTGCTTTTTAATTTGTGTATATACAAGTGAGTTGAGTTACAGAAAATAAGAGTACGAAGTTCAAGAACGATTTTTAATAAAAATTTATATATTTTATTAATTATATAACACGTGGACAGCAATCGGAAGATAATTTTTTTATAATAACACTTACTAATATAAGTTCCCAAAAGGGAATTGAAATACCTATCATCTACTAATAAATGGTTGCTAAAGAAAGGGAATGACTAGAATATTACACACAAAATTCTCGTATAAGAGACTTTGATTTTTTAAAAGAAAATCTACGGTACTGAATAATTTAATTACGAAGGCAATGGATTAATTAATCTAAGAGTTCAAATTTTATTTTTGCCAATATAAAAAAAAATCTTAACTTTAAGTTTAACTATAATTTAATTATTCTACAACTACGAATTTATTTTGTTGTGTTTTATTTAATTTAAACTGGAAGTCCCAAGAATCGTGAATCAATTAAAAATTCAGAACATAGATAAAAGGGATATATGTCTCTAAATTGTGTAAATATTATAAGTTATATAATTAATAAAAGCAGGCTATTCATGTATTTTATTAGACCTAATTTTTACTAAATTCAATCACCAAAAATAAAATTAGATTGTACAGTTTATCCTAGACTTTTATAAGCTATTTACTCATTGCATTAGATTTTAGTCTTAATTAAAATGAAGTTGAATCAAATTACACAATTGTAAAGATCCATAAAAGATTTTACTCCGCCACACATCCATACCGAAAGAAATTTGGGATTGAAGTGAATCAAATTACTGGAAGGAATATTATTACTTCCCATGGCGTGGGAAACAAATAGAAATTTCTCATTAATTTTTACTCCCGTCGTGATTAGGGAGCACGACAGCATTTATCAAAATGATCGCCAAAGAAATTTGGAAGCTGCAACCAGCAGTAACTAAGATATGAGTTATTACGCAGAACTAACTAGCAAGCACCCATCCTGGCTGTTCGTATTTACTCGTACATATTCAATCTTTCAGATTCGAATAGCAATGAATCCAAAAATAAGCAGATAAAATTGAATTTTGTCAAATATGTATACATATGTATGATTCATATCCGGCATATTATCTTCACACTTGTATCTCAACACACCAAATTAAGTTGTCCTTTAGGAATGTTCTTGTAATAGAAAACTCTTACCACAGCAATGGAGCAATCTTGTACCTTGAGAATATAATTCTGTACAATTCTATACAATGAATCAAATTCATTTTTTACCTTGTCTACAAACACAATTTAGTCAATTTCTAGTTTCGCTTATCATATTAATTTTTAATATGTATAATTAGAACATAATTTATTGTCTTAATTACCCTAACCCTCACTTTGAATTTCTTAGTTGTGGGAATTCTACTTCCACTTTAGAAGGAAGGAACTGAATTCTCACTCTTAACAAAATTCAAGTGGAGGTAATGGTAGCAAAGACAATATAAATTATGTTTTATATCATCCAAATTAAAACTAATACGAGAAATGAAAATAGAAATTGGTTAGGAATTGAATCAGAAAATAAATGGACCAAATGCAACCCTGATTGAATGATAAATAGAAATTGGAAAGAAGAATAAAAACACAAGGTTAAGTGGCATTCACTGTTGGAGCTTTGATGCAAACACACACGTGAAGAAAGTATTCCGGGTTCATCAAGTTCTTCACTACCCAGGAAAAAGGTATCTCCCATTTCGGCTCAATTCCCTGAATGCGGATATACTTGATTTCGGCATCATTGTAAGTACAGCTAGGTTCTGTCTTCTCATTTGAATTTTCATCCCTAATGTTTATACTTATTTTCTCTCCCACATCTTCTGGTTTCTGTCTGTCTTCACCCTCAACTCTAGTTTGTTCCTCCATAATCAAGGAACTGTCCCCAAAAAACTCTGGTAGAAGAGCTTTTACTGCATCAAGTAAGGTGAAGCATTTACCTGTGCGGAAGGTCCCCAATATATCACCAAGTATGACAGACAGTAAGATCACAAACAATGATAAAAACTAGTGAGAGAATGGGCTCAATTAAGAGGTTTGACTCTCGACTAGGAAATGATTAGGGGAAAAGAATGTGTCCTAATTCCCAAATGTAGCCATTAATTCTTCCTTTTTCCAAGGGGTAGGTACTTTTTTTTGATAGCTTTTGCATATTGAGATTAAATTTTTTCACTAAGCATTTAGTGATCCTCCCTCACAGCGATTTGGTTTTTTCTTTTAGAATACAACCTACAAAAGTTAAATCCAGATGGTCAAGGTAGATATAAGCCTCTCTTTGACAAGTAGATTAAACTTCATGGGTATATAGCCAGTATTATAACTGTAAAACTGTAAATTCAAATGCGGCACCAGTAAGAGTAATATAAACAGCCAAGCTACCATGATATGACACTAGCTCTACACTAGATCTACATATCTTTTTTTTAAGATTAATTTCTCATGACAAAACTGTCAAAGAGGTATACAAGAATCTAAGTAGGCTTTTCTTTGATTAGCTTATTTTAAAATCTTATTTCTATCTTCTTTTCTAGCAAGAGAAAATTAGGGAAGATAATTGTTACAGGGAATGATGAAGGAGAAAAGGTAATTCTCAAGTGATATCTGCCCAAAGAATTATAGAAATTAAAATATTTCCTCAGAATCAAAGTCGCTCACTCAAACTTAGAAATATTTATCTCACAGCAAAAATATGTTACAAATCTTTTGAAGGAGACAAGCAAGCAACATGTAAATCGGCTAATAAATCAATTGATCTCAATCATAAACTAGAACCGACAGAGGAGTACACAGGAGTAGATAAGGAAATGTACCAGAGACTAATAGGAAAATTGATATACTTGTAACATATCAGGTTATTTGCAGTTAGTGTAGTGAGTCAGTTCATGAACAAGCCCAAAGTAATGCATCCAGAAGCTGCTTATAGGATTCTGAAGTAAAAAACATAATGTGGACCCCAAGAAATGTGTGAACTCCTGTGGTTGAAAATAATGCTAGAAGATTGGAAGATTCAATGAGATGGGCCTATCAAACTCTACTACGACAATAAGTTAGCGATCAGTTTCGCTCACAATCCAATATAACATAATAAGACAAAACATATTAAAGTTAGACAATCATTTCACTAAGAAAAAACTAGATATTGGATTGATATGCACTTCATATATGTCTAGCGTTTTGCAACTTGCAGACATATTGAGTAAAGGATTAAGTAATCCTAGATTTCAGAGTATTATTGCCAAGCTAGAAATGGATAATATGCATTCCCCAGCTTGAAGGGGATTATTGATAATTGTAAAGTGTATTAAAGTAGGGTAAATGGTGTAATAGGAATATACTCTTTTCGTTGTAAATAAGTGTATTTCTTTTTATTACTCATATAAACTTGCATAAATAGGTCCCTCATATTTCAATAATAGACACTTCATTCTCCACAACTTCAAATGAGCTACAGGACTTGAAGGAACAAAAAGTAAATTTAGCTTGAGTTTTCAAATGCAGAGATCTTCTTGGTTTTTATCAAAAAATAATAAAGCTCTTTTTTCTAAAAAAAAATCCGACTAATTATGACCTAAGGCAATTAAAATCAACAAATAAATGGTACCTTCTTCTCTACGAATCTCAACTGGTCGGTTTATGTAAGAAATCTTGTCCCAACTATCAATCTCCGGAACATCTTCCAAATCATCAAAATCCTCAGTTACACTCCAGACGTATAAACGAACTGGAATTCTATCTGAGAAGAACTTGGACAATAAGACAAGAAAGTTTCACCATATAGAAGCGCTGTCACACCAATTCTCTAAACAAGTAGTAAAGTTATCTAGAAACAACAAACAACAGTATCTAATGATGCGTCCAATTTTTATATTTACATATGACTGAAGAAAACTGAAGATCATATCAGGCATGCATCTAATGAATACACACATCCTAAACATGTATCTCTCTTTATAACCTGCATACATATTGAAGCACAGAAACAATACTCTATAACTAATCAGGAAGATACCTAATCACCAATTCCCCTGTCAGCATAACCTGTTCATTAGGGCAACAATCTATGGCCAACATTTTTTTTGAAATAAAAGAGAAGCATTATCTATGGCCAACATTACAATCATATTTTAACACACTCTTCTAATTGGCCGATGAATCTCGTTGATCAATTAAAAACTTAACACTTAAACAAAAGAAAGTAGTATACTTGTCGAGGAAAGGCAACAAAATACTTAGCAACAAAATAGAATTCCCAGTCCTCCTTACCAATTCATATGAACAGCACAAGATACATGTGATTAAAATGAACATTTCCATGGGAAGAAGACACCAAGAGACTTGTCAATATTTTTTTTTTTCATTCTAAC